GCAATTTTTACTTTCTTTTTCTTTTCAGAGTAGAATCTGGTAATTCAGATATCCCTGTATTGTTTTACTTTTACGGTATAAATTAGTTGTATTTCATTTATGTCTTCTTTGGTACAATAAAATATATGTTTTTGGTCAAAAATAAATTAATTAATATATGTTTAAATAATATTTTTCATATAGATATCATAAACATCTGAAATTATTGTACAGAAAGTATACCAAATCTGCAACTCCATGGTTTCAACTATACTGTGATGATATATATAATATGAAAAAACAATTAAAATATGACATTTTAAAAAAAATACCCCCTTCATAATGAGTATCAAATGCTATATGATCATTGTGGTTTGAGTTGAAATATTTGTAGTTTAAATGACATAAATGCTATTTGAATGTTCAATTTTCTTGTTGGAACAGAGGTTGTTGAATCTTGACTATAATTTTAAAAGAGAAGAGGAGGAGCAAATCAAAGGGGTGAAGCATGTGTAGTGAGCTTCTTATTGGAGTTTAATGGTGGACTAGTCAAACTGATATAATGGTCCCACCCAAGAATAGATCTAGGGGTGTTCGGATGCATCGCATCCTAAAAATATTTAAATTATTTTATATGCATGGTGGTCCACTGCCTAACAAATGGAGTAAATTAATGGAGATGTTCATCTCAACGAAGGAGAAGGATGTAGTTTCTTGGAATCTGATGATCTTACCATAACAAGCTTATGATTTATATTTTCCAATAACCATCTAAGTACATGAAATTCTAGGGAAAAAATGAACATATTTGTGTATATTATATGTATATATCAAACCCTTACATGATATCCGATTACTAAACTCGCCAAATGCGAAATGTAATTCGTTATAAGATCTCAAAATTTAAGGACCCCACATATAAATATCATTTAGATCACCGATGTATAATATTTGTGTTATGATGATATTTACTTTCGAAGGAAAAATAAACTTTCCATTTGATTCTTGAAAAAATAAAAGAGAAAATTGTAAATGAAGATTGTAATAATATTACAAGGACCTCAATTTTAAAAGTAGTACATTACCTCCAAATCATTTCTTGTCTCTTCGGATCATCAAATGATAGAATAGATATAGATTTGATATCTTTTCATTGGCGTTGAAATCTACATTCTAATCTACTGACCTTCAATGAGTGGATTTTACAAAGCAAATCTTTTAAACAACATATACAGGCTCAAATGGAATATGCCATAATCCATGGAGCTTCTAACATGATGCCGACAAGGCAGAACCATTTTCATTAGATTAAAGTCTGTTTTTCTTGTTTTATGTCTGGTTTTTGCTGCCTTTGAGGGTCGGACTTTATGGACTATGCAGTCGTCGTGTAGGATACTGACCATTTCCATTGAATATAGATTTCATTCCCAGCACTGTTAAATTTTTGTCCGAATCGTTCGTCTCGTTTCATTTCCAGGAAAGTTTAGCATCGAACTGGAACCAGGTTGGCATTCAGGGTTCAAGGTTCGGATTTTACGGCCTAAAAATCCAGGTTGAAATGCAGATTCTTCTGTCCAATACATATTCAAAGATGAGTACGAAGATATGAACTTGAATATATATATATATTCGACATTTACACTCGAGTTGGAATGATATAGTTGTTATTATCTTCTATAAATACTGCCTCAAATTAGGGAGTTGAGTTCATTCCAAGCATGGGATCAATCACCAAGCCTCACGCGGTTTATGTCCCCTACCCGGCACAGGGCCATGTAAACCCTTTAATGCAGTTAGCCAAGGTTTTACATTCAAGGGGCTTCTACATCACCTTTGTCAACACTGAATTTAACCACAGGCGCCTAGTGAGGTCCAAGGGTCCTCGATTTCTCACCATCCGGCCCGACTTTCGGTTCGAGATCATATCGGACGGGTTGCCACCATCGGACTGTGATGCAACCCAAGACATCTGGGTCCTGTCCGATTCAGTTAAGAGAAACTGCTCAGGTCCATTTAGGGAGTTGCTGGCTAAGCTAAATGGTTCATCAGATTGCCCGCCTGTGAGCTGCATTATCTCAGATGGTTCCTTGAGCTTCACAATGAAAGCAGCCAAGGAACTAGGCATACCTGAAGCTCACTTTTGGACCACCTCGGCTTGCGGTTTCATGGCGTATTTGCATTTCAGTGAACTCATCAAAGGAGGCATTGTTCCATTTAAAGGTACACTTTTGCACCTCATTAATGAAGAATCACACGATCATTATATTATTATTTTTACGTGTCTGCAGATGAAAACTTCAGCTACGATGGCACACTGGACAAACTGGTGCATGGAGTCCCCGGCATTAGCAAAATGAGGTTCAAGGATTTCCCGACATTGATAAGAACATCGAATCAAACCGACATAATGTTGAATTTCATGACAGAAGAATCACGGAATTGCCTGAAATCTTCGGCAATCATTTTAAACACATTCGACGTGCTAGAACACGAAGTCCTGCAGGCGATTGACTCAAAGTCACCAAACATTTACACCATAGGCCCTCTTTCGCTGCTCAAAAAGCTCACTCCTCTCGGCCAAGACGACTTGCTCAGGTCTAGCTTATTGGAAAGAGGACTCCGATTGTCTCGAATGGCTCGACGCATGACAAGCTGATTCGGTTGTGTTCGTTAGCTTCGGCAGCATAACCCTGATGACACACCAACTGTTCCAGGAATTTGCTTGGGGTCTTGCCAACAGCAAGCACCCGTTTTTATGGGCGGTGAGGCCTGATATGGTGATGGGGAGCCCTGGAATAATCTTACCGGAAGATTATTACAAAGAGATCGGAAACAGGGGATTAGTGGTGAACTGGTGCCACCAAGATCAAGTGCTTTCTCACCCTTCAGTTGGGGCGTTTCTCACGCATTGTGGTTGGAATTCGACGCTGGAGAGTATCAGTGGAGGTAAGCCAGTGATTTGCTGGCCGTTTTTCGACGAGCAGCCGACGAATTGCTTGTATTTGTGCAATCAATGGGGGATTGGGATGGAGATCAGTAATGATGTGAAGCATGATGAAGTTACGAGCATTGTGAAGATTATGATGGAAGGGGATAAAGAGAAGATGATGAAGAACAAGGCCTTGGAATGGAAGAAGAAAGCTGAAGAAGCAACCAACGTTGGGGGGACTTCTTACAATAATCTTAATAAATTCATCAAAGACATCCTATAACAATGTCTTCTGGTGTAGAGGTTTTGTATTAGCGTTTGATGATTGGATTGATTCTAAGCTGAATGATTAATAACTTAAACGAGGTTCAATTTCCATTATTGTTATTCATATAATATTAAGCATCAACTTAAAATTAATCCACCAAGAAATCCCAACATAAAATTAATTCACCATAAGAGTCCACTAAAAGTAAACATAAAAAAGTGACTATTCTTGTAGTAAATAATTAATGCTGATAACCAGAAGCTCAGGTTCACTCAGAAATCTTTGTGTCACCGGTCTAGCTAATGACCGGAGCTTTTCGTTCATCGCCGATAAGTACGAACATATCTTTCGATTGCATTATCTGTTCATATCCCTTTCCATGAAATTGATCCAAGAACGGAAGAACACTAGGTTTAATGGAGAAATGCAGCCATTTATTAGCTTAGGCAACTAACACTAGACCAAAAACTAATACATAGTTCGACGAAGCTGCTTATATTTTTCATTTTTGGCTGTGATTTTGTGTATGTTCTGTGTCTTGAGTACCTTACTAATAGATTAGGGAATAATAACAATCATAACGATGAAGAATCCGAATAGAATTCTACTATCAGTGGATAATGGTCATATTCCGTTTTAAACTCGATTATGGATATTGTGAATCTGAATAGCATTGACGGGGTTTGGCATCAACAAACTCCGTCAATGCTTTCCACCATTGTTAGAACTCCATTATCGAGTTCCTTGTAGCTCCGTCACTTTGCCATGTATAAACAAAGCTCTTCCATGAGCGTCTGTAATAAAAACAAGTAATTTGTAGCCGAAAGAAAGCTTCTTTTCTTAGTCATTCTAATGTTCATGTGATGCCCCACAATAATTAATACAATCTCGATGTGGGATTGTAAAGATAGTTCAGGTTGTTGACAATATGTTTCTTATTTTATTTGTATAATAAAGTGGTGACATGTGTTGTAATTTGATTGGTTGAATAAGTATAAAGCAAAATAACTTATGGACCATTGATGAGGGAGGGAAAAAGACATGTAAAATATAAAATAAAAAACGGTGATCAAAATAAATAAAAATAGGGTAAATTATATATTTAGTATCTAAATTATCAGTTTTGATCCATTTCGGTACCTAAAATTTTAATTTTTTTCAAAACGTAACGTTAAATTTTGTAAAAAAATGAAAGTTTAGGTATTAAAACAAATCAAAATTGATAATTTAGGTACTAAACACGTAATTTACCCAAAAATATAATGTTATTAACGATTTTGTAAAATATAATTTGGTGACTAAAATAAAAAATGTTAATATGTTAATGACTAATGTCGTAGTTTTTCCTATACAATAAAAAAAGACTCGGAACAACTCGTATATATATTTTTTCATTAGTGGTTTAGAGGCTGTTTGTTTGCTTCAGAATGATTAAGCGATGAATGATTAATCGCTGAATGATTTAAATGTTGAATGATTGAGAGACTGTATGAATTAACTCTGAATGTGACATGTTGTTTGATAATGGCTCTGAATCATTCAGCACTATTTTGTTGAATCAGTCAGCACTGAATCATTTAGAGGTGTGAAACAAACACGCTGAATGTTGAACGATTTAGCATTCAACGCTGAATGATTCCATTAAGAGACAAACAAACAGCCCCTTAATAGTGAGTTCTTATCAAAACTAATCCACTTACCTAACAACTACATGGAAATTTTATCCACCAGCAATGTTTTAACCATTACAACATTTAAAAATTACTATTTACACCACTTGTATCGTCAGCATTCGATTATTTTACTCAACCTTCTTTTATTATGATCCCTTAATGCAAATGAAACATCATCATCATCCATGAAAGCTTCTTCTTCTTCTTCTTTTATTTGAATTTTCAGTAAATATTGGCTCTCAAAGTTTTCATACATAACATTCGTTGTTCTTCAAAACTCAAACACTTAATGCACACACAAAATCACCACTCGTCTCTAAATCATCAATGTCTGCATCCGCATCAAGGTCATCATCATCATCGAGATCCATGCTACCACCAAGTAATCGATTGCCACCTTTTGGACCTTCACCTCCCTTCCTTGCCTCATCGATTATGCACAATATTTCTTCAATACTCTGTGGAACATCATCATCACTTTCTTCCATGCCGCCGCCTTCCATGAACTCCTTTGGCAAGTTCTTTAGAAACCAGGGATGCTGCTTGATTTCTGGTATAGCTATCCTCTGCACACAAAAATGGTGATCGGAAAATGAATATGCGAGTACGTATCACGTTCTTTCATGTTCGGATATATATCGAATACGACCTTTTCGGGGTCTGCTACAAAGATCGCTGAAAGTAGATGTTTACACTCCTTGGAAACTCGGACGTAATCGGGAATCGAATAGTGGACACTCAGAATCCGCTGTCGAAATCATTTTTCATTTAATTAGTAATATCTACATTATGTATGGATCTTACTGATATCAAGATATCAACTAACCTGAATTGTTTTTCTGAAATTTTTTGGATCCTCGGGATCTTCAAAAGGATAAGCCCCAACCAACATGACATACAAAGTAACCCCACAAGACCAAACATCTGCAATCTGAAATTTGTCCCAAAGGTTTCCCTAAGCTTTCTTTTTCTTCGGAATGGTTGAGTCGAATATGACGATCGAATTCGAATATCTAAAATTTTACCTTCCCATCATATTCTTTTCTAGACAAGACCTCTGGTGCAATGTAGGCTGGGGTTCCTACTGTGGATTTGGGCTGGGAATGCAACACACTTGACTGAAACATGCAATAGGAAGTTAATAACTCGACTTTATAGCTATGTTATTCGAACTCTTCGATCTACACCCGTATCGAATGCCTTTTCGATATGTATATTCGAGTCCGAGTAACACAGCTTTATTTAGCAAGTAAAACAGATGATGCTGAATAATGAGTATAGGTTCATTGCCTTAGAGTAGCCAAAGTCGCATATTTTGAGCCTGGGTGCAGTGCTGCCATCTAAAAGTGTGTTTTCTAGCTTAAGATCCCTATGACAAATTTGCTGCATAAATAGGGAAAATAATCTCAATTAAGCTAAACTATTTTCAGAATTAGAGGGATCCATTGGTACGTATTTACCATTGCATGGCAATAACTCACTCCCGATATCAGTTGTTGAAAGAAAAACCTTGCCTGATGCAGCAAAAAAAAATCACAGTTCTTAAAGGAAACAAAAAAAATCAATGAAATTAAACATGAAAAAAAATGAAATATATATACACCTCGTCCTCACTAAATCTACCAGCATTGCATATCCTTTCGAAAAGTTCACCACCAGCAGCATATTCCATGACTATGGCAAGATGAGTTGGTGTCAGTAACACCTGCAAGGCCAAAAAAATAAGCAAGAAATTGAAGAACTGATGAACTAAAACAGAACAAAAGATGAACCAGCAGCTCTGGTTTTTCTCTGGAAACTCGATCATTCTGTACTTCGAAGAAGAAACTCTGACCCCTTTGAATCTGATTATATTCGGATGCTTCAAAGACCTATGGTTCATGATTTCCCTTTGAACATGTTCATCAATCTGCATAACCAAGCAAACCAAAGAAATCAACCCAGATTAGCCAAAGAGTAAAAAAAAACAAACAGATTGAAGATGATGAACAAAAGAAGTACCTTGGGTCCTCTTTCAATATACTTGACAGCATAAAGCTCGCCACTCCATTTATCCCTAACCAGCTTCGCAACACCAAAGTTCCCTGAACCGATATCTTTCAATATCTCATAACGATCCATCTTCACAAGCCAATTCCCAGAAAGAGAAAGAAAAATCTCTATATAAATAACATATGAATCTTCTATGTTTATGTTATATATGGTTTTAGAGGTTGATGAATGTCGATCTCGATGACTTTTCGATTTTTTTTTCTTTTTCGATATTTGGAGTTTGTGGCGTAGAGGATGGCAAAAGGAAGAGGCCATATTAATGGAATTGAGACAGTGAAAAATGGCGTCACCTACTTTACCTGTCGACGGCTGAGAGACAAAACTAAGTGGCAGAGATTACACGCGGCGAGTAGTTAGTGGTAGGAATATGGAGCAGAAACGAAACAAGTTGCACACTTGACTACTCCACTTACTCGCTTCCCTATTTCACACAATTTTATTTTCGTATTTTTTAAATATATTTTCTTTTAAAAATTAACTACTATAATATTAAAAATATTTTTAATATTGTAATATTAAAAAAAACCTGTCTATGTAATATTATTTATAGCTGTAAAAATAATTTGTATTTCTATAATCACTTTTAATAAACAAATGTGAACGAAACTTCAATCACGTTAGAGATGAATAAAGCGAGTACACTATGTGTTGATACTCGCTGAGAGTGGGTATGTTGAAAAGAGAAAATTGTACAAGATAACTATTTCGAACTACGAGGAGAAGAAGACAAGTGACAGACGGTTAGAACAGAAGAATGACGTGGATGATTGAAGAGGGTTCATTCACTGAAATGGAATCGTGGTCCCTACCTTAATTGGTTTTTCCTTTTAAAAAAATAATTTGGCAAAAAGGCACCAGAGGTCTTTGTAATTTTGAAAAAGATCAATTGGGCCCTTGTATTATTTTTCTTTCAATATGACCCTCCAACTTAGAAAATAAATTCAATGTGACCCTTTGATCAATGTTTTCCGCCGTTGATCTTTACGGTGCTGGCATGACAGTTCACAATGGTGACATGACAATCCATGATGTTGGCATGGTAGTCCATTTATCATGTTTGAGTTATTAATTTAACTCATCTCTTATGTCATTCGCCACGTTAATCTGTCAATATGAACTGACACATCAGTATTGTGGACCATCACATCAATATCGTGAACTGTCATGTCAGTATCATAACGATCAGTGACGAAAAAACATTGTTCAAAAGATCACACTAGAATCGCATTAAGAGAAAATAATAAGCATTAATTTTTATTTATATAATAAATTTTTATATATTTTTACCAAATAATTTTTGTTATATAATAAAGCATTTTATTTGAATTTTAATTTGTTATTATGGATTTCTTCTTAATATAATAAAATGAGTAAATATTTGAATCTTTCTGTTCGTATAGGGAAAGATAGGCCTGTAAACGAACCGAACGCACACGAACGGAGGTATGGTCATGTTTGTTCATTTAATAAATAAACGAACATAAACGAACAAATTTTTTTTGTTCATGTTCGTTTATTAATAAATATAACTTGTTCATGTTCGTTCATTTAATAAATAAACGAACATAAACGAACACGAACATAAACGAACACGAACATAAATGAACAAGAACATAAACGTTGGAGACCCTACTAGGGGTGTAAACGAGCCGAGTCGAGCTTGAGTATTGTTGAGCTCGACTCGAACTCGAAAACTTTCAAAGTTAGCTCGACTCGACTCGAAAACTCGCGAGCTTAAAATTATCAAGCTCGACTCAAACTCGAAATATAATATTGAAACTCAACTCGAACTCGAAAAGGCTCAAACTCAAAAAAAATTAAGAGCTCGATTAAAACTCGAGACTCGAGCTCGATTGAAGCTTGATTCTGAGCTCGATTCTAGCTCGATTCAAGCTCGACATTGCCCTAAGCGCAAAGATACTTAAACATATTCTCCCCCATATTCTTTTATATAAGCTACCAACCTCGAGTTGCTTGTTTGCAACTGATGTGAGATTGCATAACGTTCCTCCACTTTCTTTCTTCCTCTCTCCTTCAACAACAGTCGAGATGAACACAGATTGTGTTTCATATGATTGCCGACCTTAATCCTTGGGGATCAAACAAACATGTCATTAGCTTCGTGCTATGTAGAAGTTGAAAATTGGGAGATGAGAGAAGTACGTTGGTTTATTGTTCACACCAACTCATACATCAAAAACCATTCTTTCTCGGCTGGCTAAACTTTCATATTTGGATGGCGCACAAAATTTGTTTGATGAAACGTGTTAAAGAACTTCTCAGCCTATGGAATAAGGCCTCACCATTATTGAGACTCCTTTTTGCTCATCGGATAACCAGCTAGTGGCGCAGTCACATAGGGTGCCGACACAGTGGATGTTGACGGTGCTGGGTATGCAGCTTATGGATCGTTAAAAAAGAACTAAAACCGCGTTAATATTGTTGGGTTTTCCAAATAAAATTGGGTTAATTATGGAGTTGGTCATCAGAATATCAGATTAATTAATATGTTTAAGATATTTACAAATTGGTCACCAAAATTGATTTAAGAAGATTGGGTTAAACATAAATGACTGAACATAAACGAACATAACCGAACGAACATAAACGAACATAATCGAGCGAACATAATCGAACGTTCACGAACGTAAATAAACGAACGAGACCTATGTTCATGTTCGTTCATTTAATTAAACGAACACAAAATCTTGTTCATATTCGTTCATTTAATAAATAAACGCACATAAACGAATTTCCCACCGCACGGTTCATGAACGGTTCGCTGAACGTTCAGTTCATTTACAGGCCTAGGGAAAGACATCCATTTATACTATTATGTATCCAGTTATATGCTTAATAAGATCTTATCTCAATAATTAAGAAAAATAATGTTAAAATCTTTAATTATATTTAATTACTCAATTAAATTTAATGGAGTATTTATAATTTTTTTTTAAACAATTAATAAGTATATAAATCAGCATGTTTATAAAGGATGGATCTATATCACATTTAGCATACCGAAATGTACCACTAAAGTAACATATCGAAACACACCACAAGTAAATTTATCTTTATAATGTAAATATTAAAAAGTATTATAATTTATTTAAAGTTAATCATTATTTAAAGAATTCCGTGAAGCAACAGTTAACTATATAAGCCTCCTCTAACGAAGGTATATATGCAAGTGATAATCTATTTCATTTTGAAGCTAGTTTGACTGGTACTTATATTTTCTTGGGGGTGAAATAATGATACATTTTCTCTGCATTCTCAGGGTTCCATCTTTATTCTAGGATCTTTTTCCTTTGTGTACGATACTTATATTTTTAAATATTTATATAATAAGGATAAATTTAATTATAATATTGTAACCCCCCAGACCGATGCAGGTAGCCCGATCCGATCCAGGAAGTCACATTAGGGCCACCGGAGCGACCCACTGTAAAAATAGCGGAAAATTTAAATCTTTTTATCCGAACATGTAAACTTATAAAATCATTTGTCACTATTTAAAAATAAAACATATTTCCAGACTCGTATATAAATCAAAATACAATTACATGCCCCCTATTCACATGTACCATACTCTGCTACAACGCCGGAAAAACTCCCTTACTGAAGTCGATAGATGCACTGGTACAATTCTTTTAACCTGAAAAGGTGAGTAATAGAGTGAGCTTCAAAAAGCTCAGTAATACAAAACTACCAGATGATGCTGAAAAACGTGCAGATACAGATAAACATATTTTCCTTATTGGTTCAGATATTTACAGATTTTTATGTTGAGCAAAGATCCTACTGATATTTCAGGTAGTAACGGACAATGAGCTTTCGTTTCAGAGAAATATTTCGGATGACTGAGTTCAGGAGATCAGAATAGGTTTTCTAGTGTGTTCCCAAAAAAAACCATGTAACTTTTCAGATCTTTTTAAAACATATATATATACCCCCATCCGTCACGAACAAAATGTGTAGGTTCCCCAGAACCATACAACCCCGTCACTAACAGTAAGGCCCTGAGCACACAGCCGAGGAACCGGTAAGTAAGGCCCTGAGCACACAGCCGAGGAACCTCCAAGTAATCTTCCTCCAACAATACCCCCCAATAAAACATGTTCCGTCCGTAAACGGATATATCAAAAATCAAAACATAATTCAAGTCAAGTATCACATCAGAATCCAGGTCATGTATCAGATCAGAATCCATGTCAATATCAGATCAGAATCCAGGTCAGGATCATAATAGAATTCAAGTCGGAAATCAGATAAAATATTTATATGATTAGGGAACACACCAGAGTTTACAGATATTATTCAGAGGTATTGGATAATCTTAACAGGTAGAGAAACATGAATATTCAGTATACCGATAGGATATCGGAATTTAGAATCACTATTTGAAAGAGTTCATTAACTGACAGAATCATCAGTTATTCAGAATGTGAATTATCAGGATATTATCTTATTCGGACAGTTTTCAGAAGCTGTACGTAATCAGAAGGGTATTCAGAATCCTTTACATCCATGTCGATTGATCGGATAATCGAACAACTTGAGAACGAAGATTCATAACCTTAACAATCTATGTCGACTGGTCAATTCATTTTCCTTCTAGGGTATTTACTCTTTAATACCACAAATTCTTGTCCGTAGACCATTTTCGGAATTATCGCTGAATAAATCTTCCAATGACTTTATTTCATTTCCACACTTCCACAATATCATGAAATGTTGACGTACTTGATTAATTTGTTCATAACCCATTGTAATTGTACACTACGTAAACTCATCAGAGTTTCCAGACTTATCCAAATCACTTACTAAATCCTCAGTCATTGAGGTTACCTATTTCATTTAGCAGTCATCTCCATTCCAGTTACTTCAGAATTTTCCAGAGTAATTCAAACGTTCCTGAATTTCAGATACATGTTGTACTTCCATCCCATTCAATTTGGTCTTCGTGGTTGATTGTTGAACAAACGTCCAATTCTTAGTACTGAATACAATCTAGAGCTGAGTTGAATACTTCCAAAATTTATCATCGAGCCAAACTTGAGAAGATGAACACATGTTCCAGTAATATCTATGTCATTCAGGTATTGACATAGCTTTAGGGTTGATCTATTCACTTGAATTGTTTTCCATTACCTTTAAAGGTAGTCCAATACTTATCTTACTTGGATTCCTTAATTAATCCAAGACATTTACTTAATTTAGGCCATAAGGGTATTTTGGTAATTTTGATGTTCAGTTTTATTCCATTCATTTCAGAGCTCGAGGATATTCAATCATTCCTGAGCTTGGTGATATTCTTGGGTCATTTCTATTACAGGGGTATTTTGGTCATTTTACAGATTCACGGTATTTCAATCTTTTCCTTCCATCCGATCTTATTATTTAATTCAATCTTATCATTTACTTCAGTCCTTTCGAACAATTCTGATAGCAGAATACCCCCGATAAATTACTCTTCCAGTATTTACTCATTATTCGAATATTTTCAGGTCAAGTGTCTTCTCAGACTTTACAAACGGAATATCATAAATTTTCCTGCACTAAGTCGGGATCTTAACAATTAAATCCGTACTTATTCGAGTTAAGTACGAATCCTCTAAGTATTTTCTCATTCAGAGTCATCTCAAACTATTCTACCTCTTAAGGCATTTCCGTAATTTCTTAGCCAGATAAGTTCGATATTAGCTCTTAACGAAAATAATATAATTTAGAGATCCTATGATTAATTGCTTTCTTGAACAATCTCTGATCTTGAAATAATTCCCTTAACACACTTCTAGTATCTTGCATAAACCTTATTGGGGTTAAAAACCGGTTCTCCATAATTTCCAAGTAAAACTAACATTTCTTATGCACATCAATAGTTTTAGCAGATCAATAATTCTTTTCAGATTTATTAATCCACTTCCAGAGACAATTCTTATCATTTTCCAACATAAGGGTAATTTCGTAATTTTCCCTAATCGAAATATTCTCTTAATTTATCATCTAAGTACCTTTAATGAGATAAATTATAATCTACAATCCATGGTTAATTCTTTTATTACTTAATTCCAGAACTTGTAATTTAATTCAAACCGTCCTCCAATTTCTTATAATAGTCATCTGAGCTATATTCAGTTATCTACTTTCTACCGTATTCGTACCTAGTGTAGATCTTCATTAATTACACATATGAGACTAAACATTTTCATTCATGCATTTATCAATACCAACATGTTCCATAAAGCATAAAGAGGTAGTAAAGTATTACCTCAATTTCCGTACACTATTGATCGACCATAAAAATTCCATTCGAACATCTTTGATCTTCAATTCAACTTCCAATAATTCCTCAGATACATATAAACATAAATTATATCAGAAACGAAGCTTAATTACGATAAACGGATCGAATCGGGTGATAAATCAGTGAAAGACGGCTTACCGGGTTCGAATTTGGCGAAACGGACTTCGGATTCGGATTCAGGACGTCGAAAGCATAAAATATGACTTTTCGGAAATTTGGAATATTCGGTCAAAATCAAAGTCAACGGGTTTGACCGGCAATTTCGAGACCTTCGGGTTTGAATTTCGAAAAAACGGACAGCGGAATCAGATTTGGAACGTCGAAAAATGTCAGGATAGGTATACTCGGTCAAAGTCAAAGGTCGTTTAATGCCCGATCAAAGCCGGTCAAAGTTTTGGTCAACAGTGGTCAACGGTCAATGGGTCAACGGTCAACGGGTCGGGTCAACGGGTCGGGTAAACGGGTCGGGTCGGGTCAACGGGTCGGGTCAACGGTTCGGGCCGGGTTGTGACCGGTCAAACCGGTCAACTATTCACTAAAACCGGTCAAACCGGTCATTTAGACTATCCCCACTCGCAGTGGCGGCGCGTGGGGGCGCGTGGGCACTGTTCCGGCAGCGTAAAATTCACAGAAAATTTTCTAAAAATTATTTTGAGCGATTTCGAGATACTTACAAAGCTCGGTTCACAATTTTGAACGGCGGAGAGCTCGATTTTGAAACGTCGGAAACTTTGACCGCTTCACCTCCACACGCGCTGCCGCCGCCGGAGAAAAAGGAGAACATCGGTGAACTCGGAACGGCACAAGGAACACGATGGTGCGGGAGGTGTCGTAAACGGATCATCGGATCGTCGTGAATCGATGAAAAACCAACTAAAACGAGTTATTACCGACGATACTTCCGACTGAAATTCACGACGAACGGCGATGATTCTCGACGAAAGGTTTGAGGGGTTTTGTTCCTCGATTGACAACGAACACGATGGTGGTTTCGGCTCGTCGTTTGGAGGTCGGACGGCGAGTAGATCGGAGTTGGAAGTTGGGTCAACGGAAGAGAAAAACTGGAAAATTATACATTCTGCAGCACGGGGAGGGGTTATAAATTCTCTCATAAAGGAAATTGGCTAAACCAAGAGTTTAGTCACTGAACTTCCTACACTTCTTAAAACGGTCTGCTAACTTTGAAATCTTACAATTTAATCCCCGATTCCTTCCAAAAATACCAATTAAATCCACCACTTTATAATTTCTTAAATTTAGCCCCTAAATTGGGGTGTTACAAATATATTTCGGTACATCATTTTAGTGTATGTTAAAGTATGCGACGTATACCGTAAAATTTTCCTGTTTTATAAATATTATGAATGAAGATGTTTAACCACGTTAAAAATTTATTCGCCAATTCATATCAAATAAATAGACAAACATGTCTCCTAAATTTAGATATAAAATTAAATATAATTAATTGCAAAAAAAAAAATTAGATACAAAATATGTTAGCGTTTTGGTTTATATTATTCTACTTGATGCTCTTTCTTGTTGTGAAGATTCTTCTTCACTCCTATAAAACCACCAATTTTTGAAATCAATTTCCTTGTTCTGGTTTTATCAGTTTCTTCATCGCCATGCTCATTGTGATACTCCTCATTGTTGGTTAAGTCATCCTCAGCTTCATTTTTTGGGGTTTCAGCTATGTCGAAGATGGAGCCCTTGAGTGGGTCGAAGTCCTCAGAGTCCGAACCATCATCGTTTTCTTTGGGTGGGATTTTGGGCTCTTCTTCTGCTTGCTTGTGTTTATGTGGGAACTTTATGATCAGGCATGCGCTGTTGGCTATGAAGGGCTTTGTTTTCTTAGCAGGTTCTTTATCATGATCTTTAGATTCCTTGTGAAGATGTGTTGAATTCAAGTCAACTGATTTACGATTTGTTGAACTTAAGTCCATTGAATTCTGAATCTTATCTATCTCATCGTCCTCCATGTCCAAGAACTCCTTCACTGTCATCGGCGTCGAACTCCTTCTCGTAGCCGTCGTTGGTAAAGGTAATGATGATGATGGCGATCCTGAATGTGTTGGATCCATTGGCTTTTGTAACTTATCGATATCGTCATCCTCCATTGCCAAGAACTCTTTCACCGTCATAGGTGTTGTCATCTTCGTCATTGACGTTATTATTGCTGGTAACGGTGATGACGATCTCGTTAGTCTTGGTACTGGTGCTGGTTGATCGCTTTCTTTATCATGATCTTTATGTTCCTTGTTATGATGTGTTGAATCCATTGGTTTCTGTTTCTTACCTTGCTCATCATGGTCCTCCATTTCCGAGCACTCCTTCATCGTGGTAGTTGTCGCCGGTAATGTTGATCCTGAGGGTTTTAGCGCGGGTTGTTCGCTTTCTTTATCATGATCTTCTTGCTCCTTGAAACCATGTGTTGAATCTACTGGTTTTTGGTTCTTACCTTGTTCAGAATCCTCCATTTCCGAATACTCCCTCATCGGTGATGGTGATCCTGATGGTTTTGGAACGGGTTGTTCGATTTCTTTAACATGATCATTATGTTCATTGTCATCCATTGGTTTCTTTCCTAGCTCAGGATCCTCCATTTCCGAGCAATCCTTCAAATTCGTCATCGACTTGGTCATTCTCACCGTCATCAGTGTTTCTGGTAACGGTGGTGCGGATTTTTCGTTTTCATGATCATTGTGTTCCTTGTCATGATATGTTGAATCCATTTGTTTTCGTTTCATATATTGCTCAAAACTCTCCGTTTCCGAGAACTCCTTCACACTAGCTATCGACCGAGTCATTCTCACCGTCGTCAATGTTGCTGTTAACGGTGATTGTGATCTTCTTGGCTTCAGTGTGGGTTGTTCGCTTTCTTTAACATGATCGTCATGTCCCTTAACTTGCTCGGAATTCTCCATTTCCGACTGCTTCATCGTCACCAACGCGGTCTTTCTTCCCAACGGTATCGGTGACGGTGATCTTCTTGTTCTTCGTATGGGTTGTTCACTTTCTTTATCTCGATCATTATGTTCCTTATCTTGCTCAGAATCCTCTATTTCGGAGTGTTGCTTCATCGTCACCAACGCGGTTTGTTCCCCCATTGGTATCGGTGATGGTGATCTTCTTGTTCTTCGTATGGGTTGTTCACTTTCTTTATCTCGATCATTATGTTCCTTATCTTGCTCAGAATCCTCTATTTCGGAGTGTTGCTTCGTCGTCACCAACGCGGTTTTTCCCCCCATTGGTATCGGTGATGGTGATCTTTTTGGTCTTAGTGTAGGGTTTTCGCTTTCTTTATCTCGATCATTATGTTCCTTATCTTGCTCAGAATCCTCCATTTCGGGGTGTTGTTTCGTCGTCGTCAATGCGGTCTTTCTCATCACCATTGGCATCGGTGATGGTGATCTTCTCGGTGTTAATGTGGGTTGTTCGCTGTCTTTATCCCGATCTTTATGTTTCTCATCTTGCTCAGAATCCTCCATTTCGGAATGCTGCTTCACCGTCACCACCGCCATCTTTCTCATCACTATCGGTATCGGTGATGGTGATCTTCTCGGTCCTAGTGTGAGTTGTTCGCTTTCTTTATCAGGATCATTATGTTCCTTATCTTGCTCAGAACTCTCAAGTCCGAGTACTGCTTCACCGTAACCACTGCATTCTTTCTCATCACCATCGGTATCGGTGACGTTGATCTTCTTGGTCCTAGTGTGGGTTGTTCGCTTTCTTTATCGGGATCATTATGTTCTTTATCTTGCTGATCAGAATTCTCCATATCCGAGTACTTTTCCACCGTCATCAATGCGGTTTTTCTCATCACCAATGGAATCGGTGATGGTGATCTTCTCGGTCTTAGTTGTTGTGAAATTCGGGTTAATTTCCACCAATAACAGATTCACCGTGAAAACTATTATCTAGGTGACTAGTGTGAAAACGATTGTACTAAAAATCACCCCAAGGTAGATTCCCAGGAAAGAGGAGGGGTCACAATGGTCCCTCTTAAAACCCACTTTCCTTAGACAGAACTACCAAGACAAGTAATTTTAATAGGACAATAATTGACAACAACTATACCCGACAATAGCTATTAAATAGACATAAAAGAGAACACCAAAATATTTCACTAATAGAGGAAATATTACAAAGAGAGAAAGAATACAAATAGCCTTTAAAATAGAAGAAGGCTTATATTTGTGGGATGATTAACTAAGGAGGAGGAGGGCTTTATTTATAACAAAAGAATTTCCCCTCCTCCTTATACACAACCAATGTGGGACTTTTGCCAAAAACCAACAAATCTCCACCTTGGCAAATTCCACACACATCTCTAAAAAACAATCTTTTAATTTGTAACAATATTGACCAAATCTAAACAATGTTTAAACTTGACCGCAGTTACCACTTTTGTCAACATATCAGCAGGATTCTCAGTGGTCCGAATCTTCTGGATTATGACTCCACCTTCTTCTAGAATCTCTCGTACAAAGTGATATCGAACATCAATATGCTTCGTCCTTGCATGGTAAACCTGGTTCTTTGCTAAATGAATAGCACTCTGACTGTCACAGTGCACTTTGATGTGCTTTTGTTCTATTCCCAATTCACCAAGCAACCCTTGAAGCCAAATTGCCTCCTTCACAGCCTCTGTAACTGCCATATACTCTGCCTCTGTAGTAGACAAAGCCACTGTTGACTGTAAGGTGGACTTCCAACTGACTGGTGCCTTTGCAAATGTAAACACATAACCAGTAGTTGATCGACGCTTGTCCAAATCACCTGCATAGTCTGAATCACAATACCCAACTACACACTGACCATCTTGTTTGTCCTGCTGAAAGACCAAACCAACATCTACGGTGTTTAGAATATACCGCAGAATCCATTTCACAGCTTGCCAATGCTCCTTTCCAGGATCATGCATATACCTGCTCACAACCCCAATTGCCTGTGAAATATCGGGTCTCGTACACACCATTGCATACATCAAGCTACCAACAGCACTTGCATACGGAACCTTTGACATGTATTCCCGTTCTGCATCATCCTTAGGTGACATGGATGCACCGAGCTTGAAATGAGGAGCAAGAGGTGTACTAACTGGTTTTGACATCTCATTTATGCCAAAACGTTTTAGTACCTTCCTCAGATATTCTTTCTGAGACAAACAAAGCCTCCCCAATTTCTTATCCCTTGATATCTCCATGCCTAGAATCTTCTTCGCTTCACCAAGATCCTTCATCTCAAACTCCCTGTTCAATTGAGTCTTTAGTTTCGCAATTTCTGTCTGACTCCTGGAAGCTATCAGCATATCATCAACATAAAGAAGAAGATATATATAGGATCCGTCTTCTAGCTCACGTAAATACACACAATGATCATATTTGCTTCTTGTGTACTTCTGCCCTATCATAAACTTGTCAAATCGCTTGTACCACTGCCTTGGAGATTGCTTCAATCCGTACAACGATTTTTCTAATTTGCACACCATCTCTTCTTTTTCAGCAACTTTGAATCCATCTGGCTGAGTCATGTAGATTTCCTCATCCAAGTCTCCATGTAAAAATGCAGTTTTTACATCCATCTGAACTAGTTCCAAATCCAACTGCGCTACCAAAGCCAACAAAATTCTGATGGAGGAATGTTTTACAACTGGAGAAAATACTTCATTATAATCAACTCCCTCCGTTTGAGCGTAGCCTTTAGCCACCAATCTTGCTTTGTAGCGGATGTTATTCTTGTCAGGAAATCCATCTTTCTTTGCATATACCCACTTGCACCCAATTGCCTTCTTTCCCTTCGGAAGACTAGCTAGTTTCCACGTCTGATTCTTTTGAAGGGATTGCATTTCTTCATTCATGGCAATCCTCCACTTTTTATGTTCTGAACTTTGAACTGCTTCATTAAAAGTGGCAGGAACGTCATCAATTGCAATTGGTGATGCAAAAGAGACCATATCAGCATAACGAGCAGGTTGTCTAATGGTCCTCTTTCCCTTTCTGAGTGCAATTGATTCATGTTGCTGTGGAGGTTCTTGGGTCTGAACCTCTTCTTCATCTGACTCTTCTTCTACCATAGGAGAGTCAACATCATTTTCTTTACTGGTTGGGACAAATTTGCTTCCTTCAAACTCCACCTTTTTGGGAGTTCCATCTGTCTGCTCCAATTTTTCTGAAGTCACCTTTCTCAACATGGTAGATTCATCAAAGGTAACATCCCTGCTGAAGATTATTTTCTTTGTTTCTGGACACCAAAGACGATAGCCTTTCACACCAGAGGTGATCCCCATAAAAATCGCCTTCTTTGCTCTTGGATCCAGCTTTGACTCCTTAACATGGTAGTATGCAGTGGAACCAAACACATGTAAGGAATCATAATCTGTAGCAGGTACTCCAAACCATTTCTCTAATGGTGTTTTACCACCAATAGCAGTCGATGGTAAGCGGTTGACAAGGTGACAAGCATAGACCAAAGCCTCAGCCCAAAATTCTTTGCCTAACCCAGCATTAGACAACATACACCGAACCTTCTCCACTAATGTCCGGTTCATACGCTCTGCCACTCCATTCTGTTGTGGTGTACCTCTGACAGTGAAGTGCCTAACAATACCTTCCTCTTCACAGACTTTCAGAAATGGATCATTTTTGTACTCTCCACCATTGTCTGTACGGAGACGTTTGATTTTTCTGCCTGTTTGAGTCTCCATCATCTTTTTCCATTTAAGGAAAAATCCTAGCACCTCATCCTTTGTCTTCATTGGATACACCCAAACTCTCCGGGAAAAATCATCAACAAAGGTGACATAATAGTGTGTTCCTCCCAATGAAGTTGTCTTGGAAGGCCCCATACATCTGAATGAACATAATCCAAAATACCTTTAGTATCATGGATTGCTGTTCCAAATTTCACCCTCGTCTTCTTCCCTTTGATGCAATGCTCACAAAAAGCTAATTTGCAAGCCCGAGCACCCTTCAATAATCCTTGATCTATCAGTAATTTCAAGGATTTTTCACCAACATGCCCCAAGCGCATATGCCATAACCTGGTTGCTTCTGACTCCTGTTCATCAGTAGAAGCTGCCACTGCTGCTGTCCCAACAATTGTACTACCCAGAAAGTAATACACATTGTTTCTTTTTCGGATTCCCTTCATTATCACCAGTGCACCAGAGATAATCCTCATAATCCCATCTTTTGCCCTCACTTCTAAACCTTTTGACTCTAAGGTTCCCACAGAGATGAGATTTCTCATTAAATCTGGTACATAATGGACACCTGTTAAGGTTCTGATTGATCCATCCTGATTCCTCAAGCGAATTGAACCAATCCCAAGTGTGTCAAGAGGGGAATTATTTGCTGTGTAGACAATTCCACCTTTTAGTTCTTTAAAATCAAAGAACCATTCTCTATTGGGGGTCATATGGTGGCTACAAGCTGAATCTAACAGCCATGAACTGGAACAGCTGGTTGATGGCGTAGCAGCGAATGCGAAATCTGAATCTCCATCATCATACTCGACCACATTTGATTCTGAGACAGCCTTCCCCCTTTCAGGTTTGCCTTTATTCTTTAGCTTGGGACATTCTTTCTTCCAGTGCCCTTTTTCTCGACAAAAAGCACATTCATCTTTGCTCAATCTGGACTTTGACTTCGATCTCCCTCTGCTTCCTTTATTCTGACTCTTGGAACGGCCTCTAACAACAAGAGCTTCTGCTTCGACACTTGTGTTTTCTTGTTTGTCTTTCTTTCTCAATTCATAACTATACAAGGCAGCAGTTACTTCACTGAGAGACACATCAACCTTCCCATGAAGTAGAGTAGTTTCAAGATACTCAAACTCATCAGGAAGTGATCCCATCAACATCAGAGCCAGATCTTCGTCTTCAAAAGTCACGTCCATCAGATCAGTCACCAGCTGATTAAAGCTAGTAATGTGATCATTCATAGTGGTACCTGGTACATAGTTGAAGCGGAACAGTCTCTTTTTCATGTAGAGTTTGTTCTGACCGCTTTTCTTCAAAATTTCTCCTCCAGTGCCTTCCACAATTTACTTGCAGAAGTTTCCTTAGAAAATGCATACTTCTGCTCTCTAGAAAGACACGATCGAATAGTACCACATGCCATTCTATTGATCCTCTTCCATTCTTTCTCCTCAACATCATCTGGTTTCTCTCCTTCAATAGCAATGTCTAGACCCTGCTGAAATAGGGCATCTAGAACCTCGCTTTGCCACATGCCGAAATGACCGGTGCCATCAAAAATCTCCACTGCAAATCTAACATTTGTCACAGCATTTCTTGCCAAAATTGAAGATGAAGAAGCGTCTGCCATTTCTGCTACAAATTCTATTTAATAGCTGCCAATGCAGAATGTCAATTATCCCAAGGAAATTTTTCTGATGTGGAAGATCAGCCTAAGCCGCAACCACAGAGCATACTAAAATAAACCAAGAGCGCTGATACCAATTGTTGTGAAATTCGGGTTAATTTCCACCAATAACAGATTCACCGTGAAAACTATTATCTAGGTGACTAGTGTGAAAACGATTGTACTAAAAAATCACCCCAAGGTAGATTCCCAGGAAAGAGGAGGGGTCACAATGGTCCCTCTTAAAACCCACTTTCCTTAGACAGAACTACCAAGACAAGTAATTTTAATAGGACAATAATTGACAACAACTATACCCGACAATAGCTATTAAATAGACATAAAAGAGAACACCAAAATATTTCACTAATAGAGGAAATATTACAAAGAGAGAAAGAATACAAATAGCCTTTAAAATAGAAGAAGGCTTATATTTGTGGGATGATTAACTAAGGAGGAGGAGGGCTTTATTTATAACAAAAGAATTTCCCCTCCTCCTTATACACAACCAATGTGGGACTTTTGCCAAAAAACCAACATTAGTGTGGGTTGTTCGCTCTCCTTTTCACGATCATTATGTTCCTTATCATGCTCGGAATCCTCCGTTTCGGAGTACTGCTTCACAGTCATCAATGCGGTCTTTCTCATCACCATCGGAATAGGTGATGGTGATCTTTTCGGTTTTCGTGTGGGTGTTTCGCTTTCTTTTTCACGGTCATTATGTTCCTTATCCTGCTCAGAATCCTCCATCTCGGAGTGCTGCTTCATCGTCATCAACGCGCTCTTTCTCGCCGGCGATCGCGACCGTGCATGTGCTCTGCTCTTCGCACGCCTCTCCCTTTCTTGGTAAAGCAATTTCAAAGCTTCTTCCTTTTGAGCAAGGGCGTCTCTGAGTTTGGAATTCTCTTCCCTGGCAACGCTAGCCGCTTCTTTGGCTACATTTGCTTCAGTTAAGGCCTGTTTCACTATGTCCCTCAGCCTCTGAATCTCTTCCTTTGATCTATTCATCATTTCCCCAGCTTCTTTAAGCGAATTCCGCAGTGCTTTGCACTCTTCTTGCGCACCATTCCTCTCAGATTCGGCCTTTTTAATGCACTCGACGAACCCTTTCTCCTGCTCGTTCCACGAAATTAGGGTTTCCTCGGCTTCTAACCTTAATCTTGTTGCGATGTTCTTTTGTCGATCGGCTTCTCTCTTCTCGTCCATGCATCGTTCCCCCACCTCCTTCAGCTTCAGTTTGAATTCCTCGACCTCCCGTTTCGTCGTCTCAAGCTCTTCCTTCGTCGACGAGAGTTTATCTTTGGTCACGTTCGACTCGGTAATCACTTCCTTCAACGCCATGGCTAAATCATCCATGGCTTTCTTGTTGTTCTCCTCGGCTTCGAATGTGTGCCTCAGTTCGTTCTTGAACACGTTCACTTCATCGGCTAGATTCTCAGCCTTCTCTTGTGATCTAGTCAATTCCGATTTAGCCAATCGAAGCTCCTGCTCGAGGGCTTCGACCCAAGAACGATCATTACCCTCGAGCAAGGCTTTGATTTCTTGCCTCGATTCCTCGAGCGAAACCTTGGTCTTCTCCAACTCCATGGTCTGAGCCAACAACGCATCATGCACGCTCTTTTCGGACTGTTTCGATTTCGCGAGCTCTTGCTTCAACGACTCGATGAGCCTGTCCTTGTTCTTCAATTCTTCCATGGCACTGAACAATGAGGTTTTAACTGCGGTTACTTCGTGTGGATGTCGGTAACTTTTGAACTCGACCTCTTTCTGGACTCGTCGTGCCTCCTCATGTCTTGTAAATTCATATTCTAAGCAATACCATGAAAGATTTTTAACCAAATTGTGATTCGAATTTGCAATTGTTTACGATTAGGGAGAAGATTTTCCTTGATTGAATTGGAACGACTTGGGATTCGATCTCTATGATGATGTTAAGACACTTTCTTACGTTTGTCATACATTTGAGGAGATGTCTTTTTGGAACTATGAACGGTTTCTTGTTTTATTTTTTTTTCTTTTCAAAAAGGGGATAAAAATTAATTAAGTAATAACCAATTAATTCTAAAAATAATCGAGATTTAGCGATTGACATAAATATTAACTATATTTTCTAATAACAGAATCTAGTTCAAACTCCGTCCCCATCAAAAAAATGAGAAAAAGAAAAAAATATATGTGTGTGAGAGAAAGGAAGAAATCTAGGGTGTAGGAGAACTAAATACGTTGGTTAAATTCGTTTTAATCTATTTTTTAGAAGTGAATATTATTATTTAAAAACATTTTAAATTATAAAAAAAATTTAAAATTTTTAGAGATAACGATATTTTTTTATCTTTATTACTCCTAAAATTTACTATGATAGAAAAATAGAAAAAGAAAACATTGACAGCTAAGTGGCGATAAACAACGAGTATGAAGTCATTGTTTTCTGCAGCGTGGATTTCCCAAGGCTTCTCATGCTCTGTTTCCCCCCCCCCCCCTTCATTTCAGAATTCAGACACAGACTTAAAAGTTCAAACTGAACCTAACCTCACGCATTGACCGGTCTTACTCTAAAACCGAAGCTCTTTTTGTTGGCCAGTTCACTCCCTCTGGCCCCACCCATAAGTTCCCCCTTTTATAACGTAATTATATAAATAAAGGGTAAGTCCTCCCTGATTATTGGGTATTATTTTATTAAGTCACTCGATTATTAAAAGTTATAAAATAATTCTTTGACTATAGAATGTTGCTTTGTCAAGTCCATCGACTATTAAAAGTTACAAAATGTTCATCTGACTATTCATTATATTATAAACCCATCCTCTTTTGTTAAAAATTTGACGGTTGTTTAAGCTGGACATTAACATGATGACTAGGATATGATACTCGATTGAGATTATGTGATCGAATTTTATCATATCATAGTCAACAGATTAACATTCATCTCAGAATATCGTTCATTTTTTAGCAAAAAAGAACGAATTTGAAACATAATGAATAGTCATGTGATCATTTTGTAACATTTAATAATCAAAAGACTCGATAAAATAACATTCTATAATTAAATGACCATTTTGTAACTTTTAATAGTCAAATAACTTAAAAAATCTTTAAGCTATATTTTTTTACTATAAACCCTTAAACTATTTTTTTATCAAAATGAGTCCTTAAACTATTATATGAAATATGCAATTAAACCAGCCATAAAATGACAAACATTTCAAGATAAAAAATAATTATAACTAAAATGGCCATAATTACACTCTAATCGCCGCTTGAAAGAATGTTACACAGTTTTGCTGGTAATTTGTAAATTGATTTTTTTTTTTCTGTCATAATTGAAAAAATCTACAACAAATAATAATAAACCTTAGCATCTCTCTCTAAAACCAACACCCACCATGGCATAATTGTGGGTTCTTGAACTATATATGAATCATTTTTTATTTTTTCACCTTGAAAGTTTATTCCTATGTATATTCCCATTGTCACTCTCACTTTTCCAGCTACAGAACCAGACCAAAGTTGGACAAAACTTAAAAAAAAAAAAAAAAAAAAAGCAATTTCAGGTGTCATGGAATTTGACATCCAGTTGAGATGATTTGTTGTGTAGCTTCCTCCTTTTAATGTCTGGTCTAGGATGACAACTACTTGTATGTAACCCATGTTTTGTTTCATCACTTTTATAGCTCAAACATGTTGAGCCATCCAGTACTCCAATGGGGCTTTGGGGCACGGATGAAGCCGAAGGAGTTGTGCTGCCGCTGATGAATGTCGAATCTTTCATCGCCTCGGTACACTTCAACACTCTTTCCTGCAAAACAAAATCGTCGAAGACCAACCATATTCGTCATTACTCGAGTTTTGTATCTTTTTTGTTTTACCTTTTGTACAAAGATGAATGATGAAATAGCTCTATCAATGGTGAATCCTTGCATTTCTCTTGAAACGGAAATGGCCACTGCAGCGGCAATTTCAGAAGGTCTGAACTCCAATAAATCGATACCTGCATTCATTCATTCAATCCACCATCAAGCACGAATGAATCCCGATGAAGACGTAAACAAACGGATACCGTGGGAAAGAAATAAACCTCTGATTACTCTCGATATTAGTTGTAACGATCTAGAGATTGAACTCGGCAATGGATATTGATTGTTACAAAGTTTGCTCAAGAAGTAATCGATGAAGGAACAAGGTGTTAAAACTTGCATTCTCCACTTCAATGTGCTTAAAACCAAAAGCTCCATTCTTTGTATTGTTTTAGCTTCAAACACAAACTTCGGTTCCCCTACCTGCAAACGAAAACGATCACGGAACTCGAATCGGGAAAAGACCAATCAATTAAAATACATCGAAGAGGCCATCGAATCAATCTACATGTTGTAATCACCTGCAATTTTACAGACGAGGGCATCACTGTCTCCTCCATTTTCGCTGCAATAGATAAACATGCAACAGCCAACAGTTGGATTGTCCATCTTTTATCTCTCTGTGTAATTTATAATCAGTGACTACATTATGATTCAAGAACTTAAAGAACCAAACTTTGAGGCTAATTTGAGAACACTTACAGGTAAGTTGTACATTGATAGGAACCTATCTAAGTAGTTAATGGATAGGCAAAGACTCAAAGGGCCAAAACTGAAATAAGCTGAAGCCTGTTGATCAATAATGAGAGATTAAACAATCATTCATAACACGTTAAAAGAGGGCTGATTCCAATTTCAGGTTGCCATAAAAGAAATGCAGAATGCTAAACCAAAAACCCAATTAAATGAATCAAATAAGCAAAAAAGCAAAATAAACAGACCTTATAAATCCACTCAATGGCCTCTCTTCTGGCACTCAAGTCCAAATCCCCACTTCTCAGTCTCTTAAGATAATCATCTGCAGGCAAATGCATCATCTCTTTTTCAACCATTTCCCTAATTACTTCATCACTTTGCAATGCCAAACCAGGACAACCCTTCAAAGAAGTTGATCTGTTGTTTATAAGAAAAGGGTCATTTTGATTTAAGGTTTGGTTTTTAAAACGTTGGTGATCAGCAGGGGAAACCCCAGACTCAAGATCTCCATCAAAGCAACAGCTTGTGTTCTCCGAACAGAGAAGATTTGAGGCTGAACAGTCGAGGTTTTCAGCCATTTTTTTGTTGAGAGAAAACCCCAAAAAGGTGTGGTAAAACAGAACCCCAGAACAACCCCAAAAAACAAAGGAAGAAAAAAGATCAATTCATCATGAAGGTGAGAGCTTTGAGTCGAAAAGGGCTCATCAATGGCTGGTGGGGAAGAGCAAGTTTTTGATTATACAATAAAGTCAAAAAGAGAGTGAAAGGGTGTGGGTTTGAGGGGCAACTGTTGCTATAAGAGAAGCTTTATGTAGGGAAAGACAAGTTGAGATTTTAGGGTAAAATGAGAAATGGAATCGACGGATCGAGGGGGAGGAGGACAGCTGCGCCATAGCCAAAAAAACGACTAAGAAAGGAAATATAATGGAAAAATTGTTATAATTAATTCAAAAATGGAAATTGAAAAATATAATAAACTTGACCCAAATCCATTTTCATTTTATTTTATTTTACTTTTCATGATAAATATGACTTCAAACTAAAAAAAATGTTAGTATAAAATCGAATTAAATTTAAACATATTTATATGATATAAATTTATTCAAAGGGTATATTTAAACTCATTCAAACATCAAATCAATGATCTGACTTATTGAATGTGATATGTTCAGCTCAAACTTTGATTAAGTTTTTTTTTTCTTATTTAATCAAAGTTAAAACATTATAGGTATATCGAATGTAACAAAAAATTAGAATATTGAGACCTTTCTATGGTTAGCTATTCATAATAAGTTACTGACTAATATGGAAAGGTATCGTAGACATACTGCACCCTCAGCCCGGCGCCCGTTGTGCAATGCTGAAGATGAAGATTCCATGCATGTTTTCCGGCGGTGCTCACTTGCACTTAACTTTTGGCAAAGACTGATCCAGGTGATTAAGCTTCAACGTTTTCTTTCCACGACTCATGTTGATTGGATGGTAACAAACTTGAAAGGCCTTGAGAAGTTCTCTTTTGATGATGAAAATTGGAGTATCTTGTTTGCGATTGTTTGTTGGAATATATGGAAACTTGAAAGCCTCCAAGATCTTGTCATGTTTTTCTTCAATCAGTTTTTCTAATTGCCGGAGAAGAAATAAGACTCTTGTTGCTTTCCTTAAGAGTGCCATAGAGTTCATCAGACTCCACTATCCTCCCCAAGAGTCCCATCAGCTTACCGTCTTCGCTGCAGAGCTCGCCGATCCGATCACCTAGGCTCGTGATGAATCCGAGCATATTTTCCCGGTCTGTCGACAGCATTGTGTTGCTTTCGAGCAAATTTTTGTTTTCGATCTTAAGCTCATCGACCAAAGCCTCCATGACCTTGTCATTTTCTCTAGCTTTGAGCTCTTGCTCTAGTGATGCTACCTGCTGCTGGAGATTAACAATGATCCCATCTTTCTCTTCGGTTATACGGACAAGTTCAGCTTTCTCTTTATTGACAGTTTCCTCGACCTCCACTTGCGCAAGAAGAGAAGCTTCTATAATTCTTTTATCCGATCGGCAATAGATTACGATATCCACAATTCGAATTCAAGTTCATGTCCTGCGCAAGTTTTCTCCGAGACATTGTGGACTTGTTTCAGTTCCCTTTCCTTGTATTGCTCCAGTTCTTTCTGCCCCAGGGCCAACTTTTCTTCCAAGTGATCTGATGATTCGATCCGCTTAATTAAGGTAGCTGTTCTCTCACGTTCTTCAGCCAATTCAATGTTTGCATTTTCTAAAGCATCACAAACTTCTTGAAGTTTCTCTCCAGATTCATTTTTCATACGCACAGATTGATCTTCTAACTCGCATTGACACCTGCATGCTTCCTCGAGCATTTCTTTATGCCTCTGGAGCTCCTCCTGCGTCTCGAGCCACCGCTCTTCGATCTGATCTAAAGACTCGACCCTTTTCATCAACAAAGCCGTTCTCTCTCGTGCTTCAGCCAGTTCAGATTTTGTTGTTTCTAAAGCAACACAACTTGTCTATATTTCTCTTTGGATTCGTTGTCGATCTGCAAAGCTTGCTCTTCGAATCGTACTAGAGACCTAGATGATTCGTCGAGCATTTCCTTGCACCTCTCAAGCTATATATTTCGTAATTGTTTTGAAACTATTGTCAAAAAGGTGGGAACCCCATTTGAAATTTATAAATATTTTAAATGTAATCATCTGTGTAATATATTTTTAAAAATTCTTGTATTTGTTTTGAACGTAATTTTAAAATATTAACATTGGAATAAAATACAAATATTAAATATATCGTTTGACATTTAAATTTATTTTATTTTTCAGATATTTCATATTTATTACTAGACAAACATTCTGTAATAAAAGAAAATGTATAATGTGTATACTAAATTCATCATTTCCACTCAATAAACTAGGGATGGACACTATCCAAATCCGATCTCTTTTAGAAGTTATATTCGAATCGGTTTTAGGATGATATATTCAAAGATAATTATAATAATATATTTAATTAATTTTTTTATTAAATAAAAATAATAATTTTTAATAAATATATTATTTTGAATTGAATTCAAATTTTATCTAAGATACATACTTGTGGGACAACAACCGACCCGATTATTCAAATTTTTAATAAATAGAACATTTCAATTATAATATTCGTAATAGTTTCCAATTATTTTATTTTCACATCAAACATAACGGATTGTCAAGCCTTGGCATTTACATAAGGGATCGAGCAATTCGAAGGAATAAGTCTAAGAAGCTTGTGCAAGACTTGACTGAGATCTGAGGAAGACGTCCCTCAGATTCGGACCTTGTGACAAGGTGGAAGGTGCTTACTAAGGAAGCTAGGAAGACGTTGGATCTTGGCAAAAGTTTAGGAATCCAAATTGTGGGTGATGAAGAGGAGGTTGTGAGGGAAATCGCTAGCCTTAAAGAGAATTATTTAAGGGGGTGAAGGTTGTTGGCTTATTAAGGTTTTGAGTCAGTAACCTTTGAAGGTTTTAATGCGAAAATTGCGTGGAATGGAATAGGTTTTCAAGCTATCGACTTGTCGTTTAACAGTTTGTGCTTCGACCACTTTCCTTCTTAGAGATGGTTGTCAACCTGGACTGGACGTTTGTTGGTTCCTATGCATAACGTCATTGTGGGGATGGGTTTATGCTGTACGAATTTTTGTGAAGTTGCACTCGAAGCCTGAATCAAATGGGTGTGTATCTCCATTTAGTTTATGTTTTTGATTCCCTGGTAAATTAATAACATTAGGACTAAAACGAACTAAAACTGATAATTTGATTATTAAAGACGTAATTTACCCTTTAAAATATTAAACAGGACCTGGGACTGGAACTTGCTGCGTTGGAAGCCTTTTCCATATATCTATTTGTAGCTTTGGACTATAGCCGGGTCACCTTAATCATGTGATTTGCCGTAACATATTTATTATATGGGTAAATTACACTAATAATCATTAATTTATATTATTCATTCTCTTTATTACTAATTCACATGTTTTTTTTTATATTTTTATTTAAAAAATATAATCATATTTGACCGATAAAATCAAAGAAAATTGAATCGCTGGAAAAAAAAAATAAACCTCGGACCCTTTACATAGGAATTCAGCACCTAACCATTAAGTTAGGCTAGATTTTGCTATATTTTTAACCATCACCTTAAAATCATGTTAAAATATAATCAAGATCATCAAATAAATGATATTCGAAATAATACCAAAACTTTGAAAACTTTAATTTCAACCCTTAAATCTATGACCACTATTTTCTTTTGCCGTCAACGAAGCTCCACCCGACCTCACTTTCCCCGGTGACCAAAACCCTTATGAAATCATGACTGATCGACGGTCGATCGGCGTTTTATACCCCGCGAACTCTAGGATAAAAATCACGATCCCAAGCGATTTCGACGGCCAATAGGTAGCAACTGGCATATAACTAAGAGAATGATAGAGACTACGTCGGTGGTGGAAAGGACAATGGTGGTGGATTAGGGTTATGATTTGGGAGTTTTGGGGTTTTTTATAATTTAAGAGAAATCATGGTTTCTTTAGAAATATAATAATATTTTAAATATTTTTTTTAAAAAATCCAAATTACTGCATTGTGCCACATATCATTTAACGGAGGAAATTTATGTCGTTCATGGTCCAGACACCTAAAGAAGTAACATTTGTAACGTTTGATAGCTAGATCATTTAAAAAATAATTCAGACACATATTCGTGAAAAACTCATTAAGTAATTTTAATGGTAAAAGGAAAAGTTGTTTCTCTAAAAGATCAAAATTCGAATAATTACATTTATAAGTTGTGTACTATATCAATAAACTAAAAAATTTATTATTATTTTAAAATCATACATACGATTAAAAAAATAATCTACGCTTAAAGTTTAAAATATATTCAATGTAAATAATATTTTAAATAATTTATCATGTATTTATTTTTATATTTAAAAAGAAAACATGATACGTGTGTAGGCTAACGAAGCAGGGTTTTGACTAAATCAGCCTTGTGGAAAGTGGAACCGTCTTTGACCCACCGCTCCTTTGTCTTTTCATTTTTGGGTTCCTAATTAATTTTTTATGCATTTTATGACTTGGTCTCCTGAACCTTAATTTTGTAGGCATATGCCTTTTGTTTTTATTTTAAAATTAGATATATTTCAATTATTAATCCATCGATTTATATATTATAATAATTATAATTGTGTAAATATATACATGGATTGTTCTCGAACTTGATATTAATTATGTATAATTATTAATAAAAAAAATATTGTGTAAGCTTATGATTTAAAGGTCATATATTAAATGCAAATCGAGTATTATTTAGTTAATATTTCTTAAATATCATAAATTTAAATATAATTATCTAAAAATATAAAAAATTATGTAGATGACTTTATACCAAAAGTAAAATATAATGTGTATTGGCTCAAGGAATGAACAATGGAAGCTTAAGAAAGATTGGGAAAATATTAGGGTTATTAAATATAATTAATTTGTTAATATTAAATTAAAATGACAAAGTCTAAAGCTTGGAATTTTCACACTTGCGAGAACGCCATATACTTGGAAGCGCGTACGGTACAACCTTTGCATTTATAGGTTTAGTCTGTGATTTTGGGCAGGTTACAAAGAGGGCTGATTCGTTGACTAGGACTCCGTTACATGCACATGAACATGTAATTGCTGAAAGAAAACGCCGTGAAAAGATCAGCCGGAGCTTCTCCTCTCTCTCTGCACTCATTCCTGGCCTGAACAAGGTACACATTCACGGGACTGACGTGGGATTTTATGTTGATTTTGTATATGCTGATCTTAGACATTTATGCATTGTTGCAGAAAGACAAAAGTTCAGTTCTGGGAGACGCAATCGAGTACTTGAAGAAACTTCAAGAGAGAATGGCGACGCTTGAGGAACAAGTTGCTAAGAGAAGAGTGGAATCAGTAAAATTTGTAAAGAAAACCCAATTTCATATAGATGAAGAGAACTTTGATTTCCAATCTAACAATTCATTCCCCGAGATCGAAGCAAGAGTTTCAGACAAAGATGTGCTGATAAGAATCCTGTGCGAGACAAACAAAGGGTATGTTTTAAACATCATAAACGAAGTCGAAAAGCTTCATCTGTCGGTGATTCATACCAATGTCTTGCCCTTTGGACAATCAACTCTTGATGTAACCATTGTTGCTCGGGTAAAACTTTTACAAATTTGTTGGGATTTACAGATTTTCAAATTTAGGTTTGCTGAAGTTAAGGGCATAACATTATTTTCATGGATATTGCAGATGGAAGCTGATTTTTCGATGACATTGAAGGATCTTGTGAAAACCCTACAACAGGGTTTGCTGAAGGTCATGTGACAGACTAGCGAAACCATATCAACATTTAGGGTTTTTAATTCTGTATCTTATGATTTTCTGTGTTAGTAATGGAACCATGATGTTTTTTTGATGTTAAGGATATGTTTGAAGGGACCCCAACTATTTTTCAGTTAAAATTTCTTCCTTTTTTAGAACAAAGTTTCGGTTAAAATTTATTGTTTCCTTTGAAAAGGTGAGTTTATCGAGCAACGACTTTGATGTATACGGACATCTGAACTAGAAGTAATCTTTTGCGACAAGTTGGCGGAAGCTTCTACGGTTGCACCTTCCTTGCTTTCATTATTTTAGGTTTTTATTTAATTTGAGTCTATAATTAATGCAAATCATGGTTGATATATTTTAGTTTATAAAGCATGAACCAAACGATTTCGATGGTAAAAAAATTATTTTTGTTTCTTGAGGTACATGGATTGAACACTATCAAGGGTGTGAACGTTTAATATTAAATAGCCGAAAGTTATCTTTGAATATAGTATTACTTTATACTTACCCCAAGTTAATAAGAAACTGAAATAAATATAAAATAAAATAAAAGTGTATTAATATCACATTATATTGTATTTAATTATTAATTTTTTTTAAGTTAAAGTGATTACAATGTAGAATTTATCTTAAATATTTTCAACCATTTGACAATAAACACTCAATCACTTTGCTGCAATAATAACGACTAATTTAACCACTAAAATAAATTGGCAATAGCCGGTAGTTAGTTCGTACAAGTAGTACTTATTATTGAATTGAATATGAACGACATACATTAATTAAATTCATATGATAAAACCACTTAGGTAGAATTATATTATAATTAATGAGTTCCTAATTAAAAATATTGCTTCAACTAAATCTTTATTTAAAAACTTCATGATCTTAAAATTTTATTATAAAATTTCTAAATAACGACTCAGTTGGAAAACTAATTGGGTAGAATTGGTCCAATATCAGGCTAATTATTTAGTCCAATACAATACCAAGTAAATTATTTAAGAGAAAATAACCTCAGTGACTAAAAATCTCATATAATATACGATTTTAACCAACTTTTTTCGGATTTGCCAAAATGACCAACAAAACCGCAATGCGATCGCTAATTCGCAACGCGATCTCCATTATCGCAAATTCGCGTTGCATTTCGCGTTGCGATAGTTGGAAATCGCGTTGCGATAGTTGGAAATCGCGTTGCGATGGTATACAGTGTCGTTGCGATTTTCCCAATTCGCAATGCGAATAAGTAAATCGCAACGCGAATTGGGAAAATCGCAATGCGATACTTACTATCGCAATGCGATAATACAAAATCGCAACGAGATACTGACTTTCGCAACGCGATTCTGACTTTCGCAACGCGATTTACATAGCGCCATTCGTAATAACGCGTATTTTTTTTTCAAATTCCAAACACGAATTTTTTCTTAATAACTCGGAAACTGAACCGTCCACAGTAATCGCAACTCATAACCTCAAACCCAAAAACACAACACTCAGTCCCATCTCCATCTCCATCTCTCACTCTCTACGGCGAAATCCGTCCCCATCTCCGAAGATTTCCGTCCCCATCGCCGGCGAAATCCCTCACAACCATTCACAGTCAAAAATCCCTCACAATCATTCAGAAATGGAAAATCAACCTCCGAGTGTTAGTTTTTTTTTATTTTCATTTTGAAATTTTTGCATTATTTTAGGTTTTTCATATTGAGATTGATGATAAGTTTACTGGTAATTTCAATAATAGATTAACCATTTCACTTAGATTTCTTATTAAATTCATTCGATTGCTGCCAATACTGCTAAACTGTTTAGCCTGTGAAGTTAGTATTTGTCTTTGCTTTGTCTTTTGGTTGAAGTAATGCAGAAGAAGAATAGTTTCGAGAATGAAAATCGCAACGCGGAAATAACTTTCGCAACGAGATAATCGCAACGCGATTTTCATTTCGCGTTGCGATTTTCATTTCGCGTTGCGATTTTTATTTCGCGGTTGCGATTTTCATTTCGCGTTGCGATTGTCTGGTCGCGATAGTCATTTCGCGTTGCGATTCTCTCGTTGCGATAGTCATTTCCGCGTTGCGATTCTCATTATCTCGTTACGATTTTCATTTCAACCAAAAGACAAAAACAGTGTTGCAAATTTTAGTTTCAAGAATAAACTACTATTTATGTTTATTGTTTTGTTTTGGGTATATCTTGACAGTGTAATTTTTGGTATATCTAACTTGGTATGTTTATTGTTTTTTTGTAGAAATTTTTTTCGGCTTCATTGACATTAAGGAATAAAGTTAGCCTAGCCACTACAATTGCTTCGAAGCTTTCACCTGCACAAAGAAAATTGTTTGAAGAAATCTGCTTCGGGCCATGGCTGAGAGTACAGCATCCGGGTGGAGATGCTAGTTTAACCCATTTGTGGCTTCAGACCATGACTAGCGATCTACCCGACAGTATACAACGTGGTGAGGAAGAGATATGGTTTCATTTTCCACCGGCGTATACTTGTTTTGGGCGGAAGGAGTTCTGCTTAATCACTGGTCTACGATTCGGACACGATGATGTAGGCCGGTACACTCGTCATATCACCCGCCCATCATGGTTATCCAGGGTTTTTCCTGATGAGTCAATAGAGAAGCCGAACTTACACGTCGACGACATGAAGAAATTGTTTAATAAGAAAGATGGTTTTACTCGGATGAATGACGTCGATGTTGTCCGAGTATGCCTTCTACTACTTTTGTATGCCGGCTTTTTAGGCAGAGAGGCCAGACAACCTATTCCTCAGGAGCTAATATTATTGGTAGAGGACCTAAATGCATGGAATCTGTTTCCGTGGGGTTCGTATATATGGAAAGCTACCTGGACTAAGTTGTCGTCTGCCTTTGATGACCGCAAAAGTTTGCAGGGCGATGGGTCGAAATACACTTTGTCATGCTTTGTTTGGGCCTTTAAGGTAAGAATTTATATATAACGTTTTCAAAATTATAATTAATTATTTAACAATTACTAATGTTTGTTATTATATTGTTTGTAGATTTGGATATTCGAGGCTTTCCCCAGCATGCGGACATATGCATTAAAATCCTCAGATGATATTCCTAGGGCTATTTCCTGGAAGAGGAAACGTATGTTGGATTGGGAAGACTTAATACCATATGCGACAATAAATAATGTAAGTTAACACAAATACTATCATATATAAACAAGTTATTAATAGTAGACGTTTAACTTTGTTTTAGTTTTTATATTTTTAGGAGGCCAACACTCCATTAATGAGAATGACACCCACGGAGGCTGAGCTTGCCACTGATTGGTGGCAAGCTAGTCAGCGTTTTTTTGATGGCACGAATGATGAGCAACCTCCACTTCCTCCACTTCGAGAGCCATCACCTCACCCATAGCCATCACCTGATCGACCCGACTATACACCTCTACAACGAGAGCCATCACCTATCCCATCACATCATCGAGTCTCTTCTCCACCATCACCTCATGATAGGCGACCGACAAAGATGCCACGACTTCTATCTCCCTGTTCTCCACCTCCACGGGATGAGTCAAGGGAGTTACGTGATGAGGTCAATGCCTTGCGTGAGGAGATCGGTACTTTACGCGATAACGATGGTGCATGGCGTGTGGAGGTGTCTACTTTACGTGGTGAGGTTGCCGCTCTACGTGAGATGGTAGTATCGTTGCAGAATGAGGTTCATACTCTACGCAACGAGGTAAGTTTAAGATTTTCCATATTTAACTTGATGATAAATTTACTCGTAATTTCACTTAAATTAACCATTTCACTTAGATTGCTTAGTAAATTTATTCGGTTGCTGTCAAAACTGCTAAACTTTTTACTTTAACACTGTGAAGTTAGTATTTGTCTTTGTTTTGTCTTTTGGTTGAAAGTTTGAAATGTATTTATCTTTGTTTTCACTGTTTAAATATCATGTCTGTTTATTTACTGATATTTGTATTTTTATTTAGCGGACCGATAAAGTGGATGCTTTACGTCGGGTTTTTCTTGCACGACAGAGTTCACGCATCAGACGGCGTGCACTTGCTATTAAGTCTCCGTATACCCCAATAGTGCGAAGACACCGCAAGAAGAAGCCCGACTCGCCTATCATCCCTCAAGAGTCCACTCCTATCGTTGAAGATGCCCCTATCATTCCTCGAGAGTCCCCTCCCACCGTTCAAGAGGCCACTGTCATCGTTGAAGAGGTCCCTCCCACCATTCAAGAGCCCGATTCACATGGCGTCATATGTAGGATTCTTGAGAAACCCTCTGACGTACCAGACATGATGGATTCAAGTTGGCTCTCGTATGAGTTACCGGCCAGTACCATACCGGTATCTGAAGAGGAGAGGAAACAACTACCGGACACAATTCTGGATAACACCCTTTGGGCTAAGACCGCAGTTGATTTTTATCTACATGAGCAAAGCCAGGGGTGTTTCACTGACATATGCAAGCTCAATGATGATATCTATTTGTTGCTTGATCGGTCTTGGTGGGGCATATTATTAGGGGTCGAAGACAATGGCTATTTCGATGGAGGGGTAAGTCTTATATTTTTCTTATATTTTCATTTGATTATTTTTTTTTTGAAATTTATGTAAGTTACTAATATATGTCTTTTTTTGTAAAACAGCATATCGATGCGTGGGTGTCACGTCTTCTAATAATTAGGAAACTTAAGGAAAATAAAAGAAATACACGGTATACAATTATGCCGACGTCTTTTAACGCCGTTCACTTAAAGAATCAACGAGATGAATCATTTGCATTGGGCAATGGACAAGCTAAACTTTATCCTGCATGGTGGGAGGTCGATAAGGTTAGTGTTTATTTTAGATTGAGTTTAAAGGTATTCATAAATAAGTGCGCAAATAAATGAATTATTACTTATGATTGCAGGTGTTTATCCCTGTTTTGGAACGTAACCATTGGCTTCTCGTCGAGCTTCAGATCCCATCCCTTAAGGCAATAGTATATGACAGCATGATAAATTACATATCATTGG